GAAAATTAGGGTTGGAAGGGACCTCAGGAGGCCATCTAGTCTAACCCCTGATGTTGCATATGAATACTATAGTCCTTGTCACCATTTCCCCAGTATGGAAACAATGTGGATTAGTGGTTGTGGGTGAGCTGCAAGATCAGATTTGCTCTGAAAAACAGTAATTTCATCCAGAAAAGGCTTGAGCGTGTGTGTGCGTGTGCATGAGCGCAGTCGATTAATTAATACCCTCACATTTAAAATGTTTCCAACAATATGTGCAAAAATGCTTAACTTCAGCTGCATTAAAAAAATAGGACTTTAAAAGAGTTGATAGAGATTTGTAGAGGGTGTTGTGGAAAACTGGTGGGATCTTTGTCTCTCCCATTTTACTGGATAACATTCAGTTGTGATGTTAAATCTTGGCAGTAAACCTGAATCTCATTAAAAAACATAAGAACAGGAGCTAGGGTGGTGAAGCAAATATGCAGTGATTGGTACCAAGGATCAAGTGTGAGGCTTGTGATGAGAAAAAGTAGGTGAACAAAATGAAACATGAAAATCAAATAGCATAGCACATTAAAACTGACAAGAAACAATAATCTGAAGTGAGGTGATAAAATATCAATGGTCTGAAGCAGAGAATTTCATCTCAGAAGAAGAGGATAGAAATTAATGTGGTATTTTATTCCTCATCAGTGAAGAGACTGCCTGTGTGATAACTGGGGGTACAATTATATGGGGACAAAAATTTGGAGGGAAACAAGCAACCCAGGTTAAAACGGACAATGCCCCATAATCATTAAGACAGACGTAAAATTCTGGTGCTGTGCCAGTTTACTTGGACCAGTTTCCTTCCTGTTGGAAATTTAGTTTTCCTGAATGCTGGACCGCAGTTCTGTAACAAATTTTACAGGACAGAAATGCTGGCTTTAATATTGCCCTTTAGGAAATAGCATTTCCTTTTGGTAGGAAGAGGAGGAGTCTATCAGGCCAAACAAGTATCATTCAAGTTTTATTACTCTTGTGTGCATAGGTGGAAATTAAAAAGCTTACACTGCTGCTTTTCCAAATTCACTCAAAACAGGGATTTTTCCAAAGTGCCCATACTATTTCAGGCTGAAGTAAGAAGCACCATACACTCTGACGCCTGGAGTCATGTAGGATAAAAACTAAAGCTTAGAGCCTAAAGACAATGCTTTGAGGTGCCCCGTTCATTTCAGTAAAAGTGTTAATTCCAAACCTAGATGATCAGGGAAGCCTCACCAATATCACCTGAGCAGAAGAGTCTGAGATAAAAGAAAAAGTGCAGTGGATTTCTTCTACCCTCTGTTCCCTCAAGCTAATATACTTTAGGTGTGATATTAAGCCACCACCATTCTGCTTCTTCAAACAAGAGGTTATTTCTATTGCAGAAGGAGATGGAGGGGAGGTTATCTTTCCAACACTAAGGTGGGGGGCCTCCCAGGTGCCGCTGCAGAGAGCTTTGTGTCATGCCACCCCTTTACTTCAGATTATTTGCATTCTTCCCGTTGCATGTTTTAAACAAAATCTATGAGAAATTAATTATCAAAATTAAGTACTTTTGAAAGACTGCAAAGAAAGTTAAAAGCATTAATAAGAAACTGGTCAGGGCTTTTTGAGAAAAGTAGCACTTGATTGAAAATATTCAATAAACTCTTGGGGAAGAGCATCTTATATTGAGTGAAGCTGGAACTGTGAGAGGATGCAATCGTTGTTGCAAGAAGAAAGATGCATTTGTTTCCCTATGTCTATATTTTCAGAGAAATCATCTGAGAGGATTGAATTTCAGAAGTTGGCTTTAAGGAGATAAGTATAATAGAGCATGCAGAGACTTGGCAACGTGACTAAAACTGTATGAAGGAGGAGAATCTGCTTGTTAGCTGAAGCTTTCCATCTCAAAACTGAAGCTGCCAGTGAAGTAAAAATAGTTTGAGACTGAAAGATTTTTTGAGTGCACAGATGCTACAGCAGTGAGAGGCTACATAGTCCTGGAAAATATAGAAAGGCAGATACTCATTGTGTCCAAATGTAAAAGGAGACTATATTAGTCTTAGAAAAGGGATGTAGGAAACCACTTAACCCACCATAATAAGTGTCACACAATTATATTTAGTGAGAAACCATGCATATACAATATGTAGAGCATGAATTATCATATAATAAATCAAGCACAATGCTAGGGGAAAGCTGATTGCTATCAGTTGGTTCAAGAAGCAGTGTTTTTATGGGCTCTCACACACACTGATAAGACAGCTAAGTATTCCATCTTTCCCACGGACAAATGGCTACATAGATATCTAATTTGACATACAAGCATTTGAGTGTAAAAAGACTTTGGGCAAAAGCGTCCATAACTTATTCCATATATTTCATATTTGCATCAAATATATTAAATAAATTGGACACAAATAAGGACAAGTAAAGATAGGAGTATGGAAAGAGAAGAGCAATTATATTGAAGAGGAGGAGAGAGGATCTGAGCCCACCCTTTTCTTGGTTCATAAATAATGGGATATATTAGCATGGTGAAATGGTACTGAAACTAATTACAAAGGTTAAACCTATTTTCTCCTCATGCCTTCTAGATCCGAACCTTGCTAAACCACATTTTGATAAACTGTATATCCATACCTACATAGAATTTTAATTTGCATTTGATTAACATTTGTCTCAGCTAGACTCTGCTACTGTGTTGAGAGAAGACCAATAAAGCTGATATCATGCTCCCAGTAGGGTGGTGGCAGAGTATCACTTTAACTTTCTGCCTCCCTATTGTCAGTAATGCCCTTGTAACAGGAGAAGCACATTTACACACATTTCTGCTGTTTGGGTCAGGTGTTCTTTCACACCACTCCGTAGCCCTGAAACCTAACGAGTTTGCACTGCAGTGCTTCTTGTTACTATGAGTTGATGAGGCTCTACTGCATGTTTGTATGTTTGCAGCATACCTGGTTTTCTGCCAGGTTGGAATTATATATATAATTGCAAACACATATGTGTCAAACAAGCAAACCTGCAATAGATATTGTGTGTGTGTATGTATGCATGCACTGCTCTTTGCACCAATAATATATAATTTTAAGTGTTAGTTTCCTAACTGTGTGTATGTATAACGTGACTGATGCTCCTGTAAATAAAAATCCAAAATGCTGTTGATTATGTAGAACAAAATAATTTTAACTGGCTAAATTTGTAGGTTTTACATTGCTATGAGTTTTGCACCTAAAATATAGGTTTTACACTGCTATGAACTAAATTAATTCCTTTTATATTGATTCATCTTCCCTTTCTATCAAATCAGATGCTTGAATTTGGGACTTCAATAGGATAACTGAGCCCTGCTTTTTTATAAATGATTATAAACTACTCATTGCTTCAAGACACATTGTTCTAGTCAAGGAAAACAGTAACTTGTATTTGAAAAGGGCTCTTGATCCTTTCCCGTTTTAAAACAAAAATTGATACTGAAAACTTTCTGCAGTGTGTTCAAACCTTTAATGAGGCCCCCTGAATGAAGAGACTTCAGTTTGTTTCTGTCACAAGCATGTCCTTTGCAAATGCAGAAACATTTATTTTTAAAATAGTTACGTGAACATATGCGGACCATAACACTTAGTCAGGCATTCTTTAAGCAGGTAAGTTTTTACTTTCATTCTAACTTTACGTGTTCTTCACTTTAATATGATTCCCCTAAAATCAGTTAATAAATATTTCTAAATCACTGAAATGCTTTATGATGCAAACAAAGCAAGGAAAACATAAATGCATTTTTGTTAATTGTAACATCTACAAAAATGTGATATGTTAAGGATCTTAAAATTAGGTATGTTTGTGTGAGAATATCCTTCCTTAGAACTGCAAATTAGGGGGTTTTTTTAGAAGGGAATTGGTAAAGTAACAAACCAAATTAGTTAAATACCAATGTAATTTATAACTAATACTTCACTTTTCAGCCTCATACAGTTGAACAGTATGATTTTTAACAGAGGCCGTCTTCATTGAAAATACGCTGTTTCTTCACCCAGGATAGCACTACTTTTTAAATTAAAAACAGTTGTATTCCTTTATATTCAGAGTAAGATATTTTCTCTTCCTGTACAAGATAACAAAGTGCTGCATCTTCATTCAAGGCTTCAGTTAACCGCTTAGTGATTTTTTCCAGACAGGATCATAAAAACTGTGAGGACAAAGTTTATGCTTTATAATCAATTCAGTGCACTGAAAATATTGGAAGTCACAGGCGTTATAACAGGTAGATAGACTTTGAAGATTTATGCAACCAGTTTTAATATCTCTAGGTTAAAACTGTAACTCAGTTCTAATGGAAGACCCTTTCAAGCCTCTTTGCTAGGCACTCCTATAGAAATGATCTTTATGAATATCAACAGCAGAACAGTCACATACTGAGTACTGTACTGGTATTCCGAGTACTGCCATAACTGAGCACCATGAGACTCTCTCATGCTTACGTTATAACCTGCTGTACTACTGTGCGTTCATGGGAACATCCTCGATTTCCACAGTGTATTTTTTTAAGCAGCCGTCGCAGTTTGTTGGAAAAGTTTTTATTAAGGTATCGGTAGAGTAGAGGCATTACAAAGCTGCTTGAGAAAGCCAAGAATTTTGATAAAACCGTGATAAAAGGTAATATTCTGGTGTAATCATCATCTGTAACTCTTCCTTGCGTGTTAGTAAACGTGCTGACCAAAAGAGTCATGTAGTAGGGCGTCCATAATGTGAACTGTGTACAGACTGTAGCAATCAAAAGCCTGTGAACTGAAGGATCAAGTCTTCCAGTGTCTTGGTCAAGTGGAGTAGCCTCTTTACGTATTCGCAATATTAGGACAAGTGCATATAGTACAGCAACAGCTGGTACGACATATCCGATAAAAACCATAATGGCGTCGGCTGCTTCTTTATTTTGCATCTTGGAACATTCAATTATTTTTGTGGATACATGATTGCAGACGTAGAACAGTAAAGATGAAAAGCTTGTAAGCATAGCTCCTCCCCAGATGAACCCACAGACATGTTTTGTGTTGTACACACTCGACATGTAAGTTCTCGGTAAAGCACGTTCAATGTAGTAGTCCAAGCTGAGCAACGTCGTAGAGTACATGATAACTAAAGATGAAACATTGAATAAAATAAGTAATGTGATATAAACTTCATGGTTAAAAGTCCAGATAGCCCATTTTGTACTGGCAGGTCCCAGAAGGTACATAGGTGCCATAGCATTGATGATGAGACCAGCAATTGCAATATTGACGAAGTAAACATCTGGCATTGTCATAGTCGCTTTGTTGTAGAGATTAACCAGAACCAGCAGGGCATTGTAACAAAGGCCTATTGGAAAACAGATGATGAGGTAGAGTAAGGAAAGGATGGAGAGAACAAGGTGGAAGTCATGACATAGATGCTGGTCCTCGCTGTTCTTGGTACTATTCAAAACTTCACAGCTCCACATAGTGATCTGAATGTTTGTATTTTCTCTGCTGGTTACCAGCTTTTCTGAGGAGAGAGAAATAGTGAAAGTAAGTAAAAGTTCACATATCATATTATAAGGAAAGCCATGACTGGTGATCTGTGAAGAACTAAACTGCCTTTGGTTTTGCTAGGAGAAACTTGCTTAATGCTTCAAGTTATATTAGGAGAGCTATTGTAATAAAATGTGGTAGATAGTTCATTAGAAGACAGACACTCAACAGACATTAATACATGGATATATCTCTTTAAATGCACTGTATCCACTATAATACAAAGGATTATCGTGTAATATATTGGATTATTATAATACAGCATCCTTAATGCATCTAACACGTAAATAACACGTCCTAAACTGAAGAAAGACAATAGCTTTTTAGGATGAACTTACAAAAGCAAGAGTAACTTGGAGAATAAACTCTAGAGTTCTGTGTGGTGGCGTATGCACACATAACGAGATGTCCTTATTAGGGAACTTTAAGAAGGCTAAGACCAAGCACAGTGGGTAAGCAGAAATGGGTGGGCATTGGGCCAGCTGTTAGGTAGACCAAGGCTACCGGGAACTTGGCAAACTAAATGATTCTTTTCTGTCCAGCGCACTTTTAGTTTACCCATTGATTTCAGGGGGCCTACACATGTAGTGAATATGGATAAATGTTTGCAGGACTGGGGTCCAATTTACTCATTTCTGCTCTAGGTAGGAAAACATTTCTGAAAATTTACTTCAGTTCTTTTCTAAAACTATTTAAAATATTTTTCTCGCAATTTGTTTGGCATGACTAGTTAGAGTTTGGTGCTGACATTATTTTGCATTCGTGTTTTCATTTAAATTATTACAGTTAAATAAATGCCCAGTCAAACTTTACAGTGTATTACATTATGCCTCACACTATATTATATTAATGTTCATTTAAAAAAAGAGTGCATTTCTTATAAACTAATTATAGAGGAAACATTACTTCCACAGTTAAAGTTGATGATAACTTACCATTAAAAGCCTAATGTAAAGACCTTAGAAAGAATCCATGTGCAGCAACCTCAAAAACCTTTCTGAAATGCACTTTTTGAAATTCTCTACCTTGTGCAGAATATGAATGAAAAATATGTATTTCTTTCAGCATCAAGAAAATATTTGAGTCAATACTTCAAATAAATTAATAAATACAGCACTGCTAATGAATAAGCTAAGAATTGTTTGTAGTTAGAAGCTAGTACAGGAATGGTCCGACTTCGATTATCGTTTGTTATTCCCCCCTCCCACCTCCCAAAGTCAGATTTCAGTAATGTCTATCCAGGTACTCTTTGTTTCATACAAATAGAGGCATTTTCTTTTTTATGGAAACCCAGATGTATTTCAAAATAAAAATGAAAGGAACCTCGCCATTTTACGAAGAGGGGAAATCCACCCCCCACCTCCCCCCCAAAAAAGAAGTGAATATGGAAGTATTGGTGGTGTCAGTACTGTTACTTCTGCTGGATGATATTGTCTCAGTAGTTTTTAAGCTAACTTCCATGTTGAAATTAATGTGGAAGTTGCTTCAAGATTTCTGGTACCATCTGCCCCATAGTGTGGACCTTTCTAGCAACTGATTTTATATGGCAAACACTCCGATGCTCAGCCTTAGTTTTAATTCTTTCTTTTCAAGGTGTGAGTGGGAGAATGTGTACACACATTTTGCTAATAGTAGGGAGACAAAATAACTAAATCTGTAATAAAGGTTTTGCAATTCAAATGACAACATGGCTAAGTGCACCAGCTTGGATTCAATTAAACAGTTTGAGTTTTGTAAACATGAGGGCCACATTTGATACTCAATTACACGGGTGTATCTTAACTGAAATAGTAGGAGAGTTGCGCTGGTGTAACCAAGCACGGGATTTAGCCCAGTCTGTTTAATCTCCTTCCTCAGCTGCTGTCCTTGAGTTTGTGTTTGTATCTCAAACTCCCTCTCACCATTCTGTAGCAGGAGTCGAACCAAAGAGTCTGCTGCGTCGGGCAATAATCCACTTTTAAAAACTGACTTTCCTCAGATAGACTGGGCTTTGTAAGAGAAGTAGAAAGTGATGATTGTTTTAATCATAATTTTCCTTTAGTATTGTTTGAAGGCGTCATTTTTTCCTAAGTGATTTTTTCCTATGATTTATTTTTGAGCTCTAGTGTTACAAAAGTATACAGAGTCTTTGCATATTTAAATATTGCCTCTCAAACCCTCATACCGTCTTCAAAAATCGAAAGCAGCCTACTTTCCTTTACATGAAGCAGACACTGTATAAACTGTTGAAATAATCTGTGCTGCATGTTAATTGGTGATGACAGAAATGACAGGTCAACTCATTGAACTGCAGCAAGTTGGTGCAACTAACACTGAAGACACAGCTAGACACTGCATGTGAATGCACCTAGATATACCCCCAGCACCCACATGAAGCCCTGTTGACCATAAGCAAAGACATAAGGAAGCGACCAAGTAAATCCATTTTTCAAGACCTAACTCTACGCAGCTAACTTTCACTACAAACTAAATGACATCAGCCTTAGAAATACTTCTCTTTATATTCTCCCATTGAAAACCATTTGTGTTATTTTTTTACAGAGCTGAATAACTGCTTCTACAAAGGTTCAAAGATTAACACCATTACACTGATATCCTTGAAATGCAGTTAAATAAAACACCATTCTGTTCTCATAGGAATGGGAGGCAATTTATTATGCCCAGTAATTTTCTTGTGAAACTTGCGAAACTCTCAGTAGCTGCGATCATAAGTAAAGTATGAACATTTGTCATAAGTGTACTTTTTGCGAAATATAAGGCTTCAAAGGTTTCTAAAACACTGGACCAACAGTATTTCAGTATGCATATTTCAGTATACATGCTGAAATACTGAAGAAAGTATATCAGTATTTTCTTAATGATATACAAACAACAACACCCCCCCCCCCGTTTTTGACGTATTACT